AGCACCTAAGTAAGCAAACCAAAATGTAAACCTGTAAATACCTCAAGGTTATGTAAACAAAACCTAACAACCAATCACTAAGAGCCAACTAGCGCCACCCCACTCCAGTACTCTTGCCTGGAAAACAGGCTGCAGTCCATGGGGTCGCTTAGGGTCAGACACGACTGAGCAACTTCACTTTCACTTTTCACTTTCATGCATTGGAGAAGGNAGTGTCTCTTTGCCTAAGAGTTGGGCAATATAAGCTAAGGAAATACAATGACTTTTTCAGTGAACAGTTAAGGAGAAGAATGAAAACAGATAAATAGAAAGGAGGAAGCATGCCCAATGGGCAGAGTGCTGAGTGCCCAAGGGGGTAGAGTTGCCCACCTGCCCACAAGTCAGCCCCAGCAACCTCCAGGCAGCTCCAGCTCCTCCTACTCTTCCCATTTGTCTCATAATATTTTATTGAATAACTTAACCCTTCTGCATCTTACTTTTATTACTTTTATACACATAGCTCTACCTCATTCTTTTTTACTGCCACATAATATTTATAGCATGAACATTCTCTGGCTTATTTAGCTCGTTTCCTACTGAAGGACAGTTAGGTAATTCCTGAGCTGTCATTACCTGCCATGCTTTAAGGAACATCCTTTATTCATGATTTCTGTACATGTACGTTTCTCTATAGTATAGAATTGCTGGATCAGAGGGTATACACATTGTGCAAATAAATTTTTCAAAAATTTGGAACAATTTTAGACTTACAGAAAAGTTGTAAGAGTATTGACAGTCCCCATATATACCTCAACCAGTTTCCTCTAATGTCATCATCTTATGTTATCATAGTACATTGATCAAGACTAAGAAATCCAACATTTGCATATTACTACTGTGAACTAAACTCCAGGCTTTAGTTGGATTTCTTTCTTTTTTAAAAAATATTTATTTATGTGGCTGCACCGGGTCTTAGCTGTAGCACTCGGGATCTTTTTTAGTTGTGGCATGCAGGCTCTTCAGTTGGGGCATGCAAACTCTTAGTTGCAGCAGGTGGTGTCTAGTCCCCTGACCAGGGATGGAACCTGGGTCCCCTGCATTGGGAGTGCAAAGCCTTAGCCACTGGACCACCATGAAGGTCCCTATGTGGAGTTCATTAATTGTATTATCTTCTCAGGCTGCCATAATAGAATATCAGAGACTTGGGTGACTTAAGCAACATACATTTATTTTCTCACGGTTCTGAAGGCTGGAAGTCCGAGATCAAGGTGCCTCCAGTGTTGGTGTCTGGTGAGGTCTCTCTCCTTGGCTTGCAGACGGCCACTTTCTCACTGTGTCCTCACGTGGCTTTTCTTCTGTGCACACCTGCATGGGGAGAGTGAGAGAGTGCTTTGGTGTCTCTTCCTCATGGAGGACACTAGTGCTATGGGATTAGGATTCTATCCTTATGATCTCATTTAACCTCAATTACCTCTCTCAAGGTTGTCGCCACTCACAGTCACATTGGAGGTTAGGTCTTCAACATATGAGTTTAGGAGGGGACACTTTAGTCTGTAACACTGGCTTTTCCACTAATGTCCTTTATCTGTTCCAGCATCCAATCCAGGATACCACATTGCGCGTTTTTAGATTCATAAATAAAGCAATTTGGCCAAATTGCTTTCCAAAGTGGCCCTACTAGTTGATACATTCTCAGTTGGGTGTCCCGCTTTCTTCATACCCTCCCCGTTTCTGATAGTTTCAAACTTTAAAATATTTGCCAATCAGGTAAGTGGCTAATAGTATCTTGCTTTATTTATTTTTTATTTTGTTTGCTACATTGCACAGTATGTGGAACTTCCCCAACCAAGGATTGAGCCTGTGCCCCCTGCAGTGGAAGTGCAGAGTCTCAATCATTGGACTGCCAGGGAGGTCCTCTTGCTGTTTAATCAGAAGTTCCCTGAATGCAAGTAAAGTCAAGCTACTCTTGGCTGGCCACCTGTCATTCCTGGACTGTGAATTGCCTAATCTTAACCTTTGACCTTTTTTTTCCCCTTTAAACTATATGATGAGGTTTTCTTACTGAATTGTAAGAAAATTGTACTTTTGTGAGGGGAGGGGCTATGTCTTATAGTCACTGCTGGCACATAATAGGTGCTTTTTGTTGCAAGAACCAGAAACTAATTTGAGGAAATGAAAAAGGGGATGTGTCCCAGGAAACCCAAGTAGGAGAGTAACGAGGCTTCTTCAGGGTTTGGAAATGGGAAGGGTACATGGCCTCTTCTCCCCTCTCCACAGTCTAGGTCTTCTCTGTTCCTCAGGCTGAGAGGGCTGGTCCTGATCGATGCACCCTGTGACATCATCCAGCTGCCTGGAAATCCTGAAAAGTGTTAGGAGAGAGAATCTGATTGGCCTTGCATGGGTCAGGTTGACATTCCTGCTGGACTGCTACTTCTAGGCTCTTAAGCTGTAATGCGTGGAGGAAAGATGGTTGCTGGGAGCTCCCACTCTGGGTGGGGAGGGATGAGCTGTGCAGATAGCCAAAGGAGAGCCTGTTCCAGCAGGACTGTGATGGATAGAACAGGAGACCTGACCCCTGCATGTGCCTTGCTCCACAAATGTACCTCATCCTTGTCTTGCTAGAAGCTGGAATGACAATGTATTCTCAACACGAGTGACTAGACATCTGTCATTTCTGTCATTCTGCATCCCTTTTGTTAACTTCATATGGTTTTACTTTACATCTGCCCATCTCAGTCCACGTGTTGATTCCTCTGGGAATGGGTGTCTGATCTCAGGCATGGGGGAATGGCACATCCCGTGCGCCACAGTGATTGGTTGAGGGATAAGCATGTGATTAAGCATGTGATCCAGTTCAGGCCAATGAGAGTTAGACCTGGGATTTTGTTCACACTGGGGGAGAAAGGAAGATCTTTTTCTTTTCTGAGGGCCTTGGCCTGGTGAAGTCATACATCTGGAGCTGCTAGGGGTCATCGTTTGAAAGCCCTGTCTGAAAGGGAACCAGTAAAGGGGGAAGCAGGTAAAAGCAAAGAGACACAGACAAACACTAAGATCATGGTGACGCTGCTGAGCCTTGGGTCAAGTCACATCTGAAGAAACCTCTTCTGTAGTTGTCAGTCCCATGAACAAATACACGCTTCCCCTCCTTGAAGAAAATACTGATCCAATTTGTGTTTTCCATTACTTATCCCCCCAAGGTGTGCTGACTTATCCTGAGATAGAATGAATGAAACAGGCAGCATTTCACATCCCCCTCCAGCACGCCTGTGTGCAGGAAGACAGCACCATGACATGCTGGGACCCTGCTCAAATCTTTGGCTTCTTCTCCATCAGCCCTACAGCTGTTGCCTTTCTGTGGCCAGTGTGGATGGCTCCAGCTGTGCCCACCCTTTCCCGCTTCACTCCCTCCTCCCTTGTATTCTCAGGGCTGCCTCCTGAATGCCCAGTGCACTGGCTCCAGGCACTCTCCAAACCTCGGGGACAAACTCAAGGACTCACAGCAAGGCACCCCAGGCTCTTGTCCCTGCTCTTTCCATTTCTTCTTCTGCCTTGTGAGACTTTCCTTCACCCTAGATCTTCCTTGCCTCTGTTTCTCACCCTGGCAACATCTCCTGGTCTTTCAAGACTTGGCTCAAGCCATACTTTGCTAAAATTCTCCCCTAGTTGGTTGGGACCTCTTCCTTGGCATTTGTCACCCTGTATTCTATCAAGGCTGGCTAGCCTTTGGGCACTGGGAACACAGTGTCAGGTCCTCAATAATCTTAAAGGGTCATGAGAATGTTTTAACTTATTTAAAAATCAGAAGAAAAAAAGAACTTTAAGGGTCAAAGAAAATGTTATTTTTTCTCACATCAGAAAAAAAAATTTGTTGGGCCCATAAAAATCCATTAAATCATTTTTTAAATTTTCTTTAGAAGACATCATGGAGGCAAAGGCTTCCCAGGTGGTGCTAGTGGTAAAGAAATCTGCCTGCCAATGCAGAAGACACAAGAGATGCAGGTTCACTGGGTCAGGAAGATCCCCTAGAGATGAAAATGGCAACTCCAGTATTTTTGCCTGGAAAATTCCATGGACACAGGAGCCTGGTGGGCTGTAGTCCATGGGGTTGCAAAGAATCAGACACGGCTGAACACACACACACACACACAAACACACACACTCGGAGACAAAAGTTCCTAGGACCCAACAAGAGTCATAATGTGATAGGATTGCATTGTCTTCCCAGAGTAGACCCAGTGGACTGAGAGCTCCTAGGAAGTGGGGAACAGAACGTTCCAGGGCTGTGTTATGTAATTTTAAAACCTCTGTATCCCTAGTCCAGTGCTTGGTACACAGGACAGGCTCAACCAATGCTTTCTGAATAAGTGGATAAGCAAATGAACGAATGGCTTTGGTGAGACTCTAGACTCTGAGTCTCTTGTTTCTTCATCTGCAAAGCAAAGCTTCTTTGTGGATGGCTGTGAGGATTAAATGTGGGTGGAAGATGGCTTGGAACCATGGACTTGGAGCTAGTCCTGAAGCTAGGCTTGAAAATGGGAGCAAGGATAGGAGCCAGAGGTTGTTAAAAACGCCTCTAGGTGGTGTCCATACCTTTTTGTTGAAACAAATAAGATTATCCTATATATACTCAGAGAAAAAGAACCAGAAAGACATTTACCAAAAGCGGCTCACAGTGGTCAGCCCTGAGCATGGGTTATCTTTCTAATTTTTTTTTTTTTTTAAACATACTTGGGGGACTTCCATCCTGGTCCAGTGGCTAAGACTCTGTGCTCCCAATTCAAGGGGCCCAGGTTCGATCCCTGGTTGGGGAACTAGACCCCTCGGGCTGCAACCAAGACTTGGCACAAATAAATAAACCTTTAAAAAAATTTAAAATAAAAACCATACTTAGGAACATGTGAAGGCCAGGTCTGTGTCTTATTTCACCTTTGTGTCCCTAGCCTGGCAGAGGTGAAGAACGCATGAATGAGGGAATCCGCCATCACATAGCCCCATCTGGCACTGCATCAGCATCAGGTCCCATGCCCGCAAGTAAGTCAGGGAGCATAGGAAGGCCAGCAGTGGACAGAACAGCCCTGTAGCAGGGAGACCGTTTTAACCCCAGGAGATGTCTCTTGCAGGTCATCATGGGGACTGAGGAAGAGATGGGACATCTCCAGTGGTGATAGCCACCTTTTAGACACTACAGAAATTTTAGTTCCCAGCCCCTCTTCACAAACATTCAGGAGACGGGCTTCCTGTGCTGCAAGTAATTTAGCATTTCCCATGGCTCCCAAAGGGGCGGAACTGTTTCCTTTTCACAAGCCGTGGGTGCTAAGTCAGTATCAGACTTGTGGGTCTTGCCCGCTGCTGTCTGCCCAGCGCCTAGGGGCATGCTGGCACATAGTAGGTGTGGAGGGAGCAAAGGAATGAGTGTCAAGCGTTACTTTAACGGATTGCTGGGCACGTCCCCAAAGAAGAGAATAAAACCCACCTCGAGATAATAAGACCCTGCACGGCCTCCCGCACCCTGTAATTTGGATCTCTAGGAATCGCCTTTGTTGTGGGCGACCAACCACAGGCAAAGAAAGCACCTGCTCCTCCAGCCGGTCCTCGAGGAAGGACCCCGGGCTGCCGATCCCCTGGCTGCTCTCCGGGCCCCTTTCCTGCGCTTCCCGGGACCTGGGGGCTCCGAGGCATCCCGGGGCTCGCAGGCAGGGTCAGCTCCAGCGCTTCCCAGCCGTGGTGGGGCGCGTCCCCAGGTGCCCGACACCTCGCTCGGGGTCAGCGTTCTTTGCCTCCTCGTGCCGGCCAGAGTGTCCGGGGCCGCGTCTGCCACCCCCAGGCCTGCGAGGGCAAAAGCCAGAGGAGACCGCGGCGCACCCCATCTCTTCCCGGCTTCCATCCTGGGGCCCCCAACGCCCAGCGGCGTCGGGCCTCGGCGCGGCCGGCTCTCTGCGGTCTCCTGCGCGCCCCCTCTCTTCGGCCCGGATCTCCGAGGCCGCGGTCCCCGCCCCGGCCAGCTCCGAGGGCGCTTCGCCCGTCCGCCCTCCAGGGCTGAAGCCTGAGCTCTCAGCGCTCCCCGGCGGCTCGCGCGGGAGGGGGCGCGGCCGCCCCCGCGGCTCCACCCTCTCCGCGGGGCCGCGGCCATCTGGGGCCCCTGCCATTCGTGTCCGCTCTGGGGCCCGCGCCGAGCTCGCGCGGGAGGAGGCAGCCCCTGGCAGGGGCCCGGGCCTCCCCACCGGGCGACCCCCTTTGCCAGCGCGGGTGCGGGAAACCGGACGCTGAGATGCCCCGAGGGGACAGTGGCTGCGAGTCGAGCCTGGGTGGTAGAGCGTCGCAACGGACGCTGCGCCCCTGGCCACCTCGGTGACCCTCCAGGAGGCGGGACCCGAGCCCCGCAGGCGGCAGCGCGGGCCCGCGAGGACGGCGAGGTCCGTGCTCCTAACGTCCGCGGCGGGCGCCAGCTGCGGAGCCTCGGTCGGGCTCTTAGCCTCCCGACGCTCCCCCCCAGCCCCCCGCGAGCTGGCAGGAGGAAATAGCGCGCGGCCCCTTTAAATTTACCCAGGAGCCCTTAAAGGAGCCCCAGGGGCCCCAGACAGGAATCCCCACCCCGGTCCAGCCCGCGCCGCCGAGCGAGCAGCCAGCCGTCCGTGCTGCCGGCCGCCCTGTGCATGCGCCCCGCTGGGGCCGACGGCTGCCGCCCGCCGGATCGAGCGGCAGCGCGGAACCCGAGGAGGACGACGGCGGTAAGAGCTGGCTGGGGCCGGCGGCTCGGGCGGGGGCCCCGGCGTGGGGGAGGGGAGGGCTGCGGCTCCGGGCTCCGGGCCCCTCTTCGCCGCCGAACAAAGCGGGGGACGCGGGCAGGGCGGGCGGGGGCGCCACCTGGCGGGCGCGGATCGTGGCTGCAGGGCCAGCGGCGGAGCCCCCCGCCCAGCTCCCGGGGTTGGCCCGCGGGTCTCGGGCGGATCCCCTCCCCCTTAAAGGGCCCCGCGGCCCCCGCCTCTGAGGCCGAGCTGGAGGGGCCCCGAAGGACCTGGCCTGACGCCGCGGGGCGCGCGCTCTAGGCTGTTGGGACTTGCGTCCCCCGTCCCTTTCTCTTTCAGACTCCCAGGTGGTCTCCCTTAACCAGCTGTCTCTTAAAAGTCTGCCCAGACCTTGGGTCCCTTTCCGGGGCTTCCCTCCAGAGGAACTGAGCTGGGGACTCCGCTGCTTTAAGTTGGGCTGTATTCTCCTCTGGGGCCTCGCCTAGAGAAGGGCACCCTTTTTCTTTTTCCCCTGTGTTCTCCCTGGAAGAGAGCATGGCTTGCGCCTCTTGGGGACCTACCCAGTACCTTCCCCACGGGCGGGCAGTTTTTAAAGATATGGTCTCGCCCACAATGGCATACACTCCCCTTCTGTCCGCGCGTTACCCCTCCCTTCTTTTCAGAAATTTTGCCACAATTTGTCAGCTATAGCGGGACCAGCCAGTCCTCCCCGTTTGCTCTCAAAGGGGGCTGTTTCTCTATCCGGGGTCAACGGCTTAAGAGCCCTGAAGCTTGCGTCCAGGATCTGGAGCTTCACCCCTAATCCCGAAGCTCCCCTGCCAGAAATTCCCCATCCCCTTTTGTTTTTAAAGAATCCCAGCTCCTCCCCTTTTTTCGGCTCTTAAAGGGCCAGTCCACCTTAGACTAACAGATCCGGCGCTGGAAGGATGCTGAGAGACCAGCTAGCTATCCAGTGCCTTTGCAGACAAAGACACTCAGGCCCAGAGAGCGGACATCACCTACCAAAGGTCACAGAGCAAGTTACCAGTGAAGTCCGGAGTCAAACCCACGTTTCTGACTCTGAAACTAGCACTTTCTTTTTCTTCGATGTACTTAAACCAAAACCAAACAAAAACGGGGTGACAGGAGCCCTCTCTGATCCTGCCTTTTGTTTTCCATACAGTGAGATTCTCTCCTGGGAGGATGACCACATCTGTCTATTCAGCCTATTTGGCCAGGAGACCCTTTTCTAAATGAAATACGGTCCAAACTGTAGGGAAAGTGGGGGGGACTGTTCAGGGTCTCCGTTTGGCAAAAGGGGACATTACTGGGTTGTTGGCCTCTCTACTGCCTGCCCACTGATTGCTGGGCAGTGGCCAGCTCCCGGCCAGAGCAAAAAATAAATCCCCAGAAAGACTTAATGGATTCCGGTGGGTGGTGGCCACTCCCTGCTGCAGTATCTTCAGTAGCCACTCCGGTGGCCCTCCTGCCGGCCCCTTCCAGTCATCAGCTCTCCCAGACTCTAGTCCTAAAAACTCCTTTCTCTGGAGGTGTTGACAGCTTTGTCATGGGGTCCCTTAATTTTGGGACCTGACAATGTTTAGTGCCCCTTAAAATGGGCTTCTTAGGAAGGTGTATTTGAGGCACTATTGCAGAAAGGGAAAAAGATCATCTTTGGGTGGGGCCCTCCGGACTGGGGCCTCGGGCGGTGGGTCCTGTGTGCAGACAGATGCCCCCTTTGTTCTCTGGCCCTGCTGCCCGCTTTGCTCCGGCTGTAACCGCCCAGCAGGCCGCTCCCCTGGCTTTACCCCCGACAGTGCTCATCCAGAAGGGGTGCCTTGCAGAGCCTGCTGCCTCCTTGGCCTTCACCTTCATTTTTTGAAAAAAATTAGAGCTGTGCCCTGCATTCTTTTGTTCCTGATCCTCTCTTAAAGGGGTCTCATTCTTTGTAAAGGACCAATGTTTTGACTCCCTGCTCTGCCACCTCCCTTTGATTGCTCTTGCAGTCCCTTTCCTGCCCCTGAACAGACCTCTCTCCCACCTCCGTTCTCTTGCAAAATGGAAGCCCTAGGTTCTTTCCCTGGAAATCTTAGAGATTGAGAAACTGTCTCCCTTTCCCCCCCCCTCCCCCCTTCAGGGCAAGATCTTCAGCTGGAAGGGGGTGCCTTAGGGTCCTGGGGGAGTGCCCCACTGCCCTCCTCCAGGGCCAGGGGACCAGCATCTTCAGGCAGGAAATACTCAGACCACTGTGAGGCCCGGGCCTCGAGGCCTGGCAAAAGCCGCATTCCTGGCCGTGACCATCGTCGTTACTACCATGACCACTGGCGGCTGGAGTACCTGATGGACTTCAACCCTGCTCGGCACGGCATGGTCTGCATGGTGTGCGGCAGCTCCCTGGCCACTCTCAAGCTCAGCACCATCAAGCGACACATCCGCCAAAAGCACCCTTACTCCCTGCACTGGAGTCCCCGGGAGAAAGAAGTCATCAGCAACAGCTGGGATGCCCATTTGGGGCTGGGGGCCTGCGGAGAGGCCGAGGGGCTGGGGGCCCAGGGGCCTGAGGAGGAGGAGGAGGACGACGATGAAGAGGAGGAAGAAGGGGCTGGCCTCCAGACTAGCCTGCCCAAGGGCCCAGGTAATGTCTGACTTGGGGAAGCTGGGGCCTGGGTGGTGGATGGGGCCAGGTGGGGCCAGCCCGGGCTTCCTAGCCAACTAGCTGGTTTCCTGGAGCAAGCTACTGCTCCTTTTTGGGGTGAGCTCTGCTTATTGGACAGTAGTGGGTGAGGGACCGTGGGACCAGATCTCCAGCATCGCAGACAGTTTTGACATTCTGTAGTTTTAGAAGGATCCAGGGAGTGGAGGCTGGAGGGAGGCCTGGGAGCAGAGGGTACTGGAGAAGTCTAGGGAAGGGGCTAGAATCTGGACCTGTGGGGGAGTCGGGTGGGGCTGAGGCTTTGTGTGCAGACAGATTAGGAGATGAAGGAGTTAAGACTTGAGGGGAGAGGAAGGGAAGGGCAAAGGTTAGGCCGAGGGCTCAGAGGCGTGAGGGAGAGGCTTGTGGCTGGAGGGCCTGGCTGTGGTGGGGGGTGCTCTCCCAGAGGCCAGCATCTCAGTTCCTTCCCTCCCTCCAACCCTTTCAGGCAAAGCCCCAGCTGGCGGGGGCGGCCGGCGCCAGAGGCGAGGGGGCCCAGGGGCACCCGGGGCTCCGCGTCGGTGCCTCTCTGCCTCCCGGAGGGCTGGGGGCAGCAGGGGGCTGGGTGCCCGGCGGCTGGAGCGGAGGCTGAAGGAGTCCCTGCAGAACTGGTTCCGGGCAGAGTGTCTCATGGACTATGACCCGCGGGGGAACCGGCTGGTGTGCATGGCCTGTGGCCGGGCACTGCCCAGCTTGCAGCTGGACGACATCCGTGCCCACGTGCTGGAGGTGCACCCTAGCTGCCTGGGGCTCCGCGGCCCCCAGCGTAGGGCCCCCCAGCCTAGTGCCCTGCTGCAGGCCTGGGGTGGCCAGCCGGAGGCGCTGTCTGAGCTCACCCAGTCCCCACCAGGTGCGAGGCCCACCCCACGGCCAGGACCCCTTTATATAAGGGCTGCAAAGAGAGGTCTGTGGCCAAAACTGGGAGGGACTCATCTCTCCCCCCTCCACATAGATACACACACACCCCTCCCCCCACATAGACACACCGCCCCCCCTTCCCCCCACATACACACGCTCCTCACCCCACATAGACATCCACACCTCCCCCTTCCCCACAGACACACACACACACACAAGTTCTAGTTGGGGGGGGATTCATCCCCCCACCCACATACACACACGTACCTCCCCCGCCCCAGCCCCCATAGACACGCACACACAAGATTCTGGTGGGGCTTCTAGTTTAGGGCTGGGATGAGAAGCAAGGGACCCCCTCTTTGTGGGTAAGGGCAACCCAGCCAGCAAGCTGAGCCCCTCTCCCTCACCCCTTCCCCAACAGACGATGACCTCGTCCCCCAGGACCTGACCAGCAAGAGCCGGGACCCGGCCCCCGCTGCTGGAGCCCCTTCCTCTCAGGACCTCAGCCCCCCAGACGGAAAGGAAGAGGCTGGCTGGGTCCCTGAGAGGGTGCCCGGGCCGGCAGGGGAGGAGGAGCCGGAGGAGGGCGAGAGGGTGGGGGTCCCCGGCCGGCCTGCGCGGGGCCGCGACCCCCGCCGCCACTGCCCGGAGCGCTGGCGGCTGGAGTACCTCCTGGAACTGGACGGCGGCCGGCGCGGCCTGGTGTGCCTGGCGTGCGGGGGCGCGCTGGCTTCGCTCAAGATGAGCACCATCAAGCGGCACATCCGCCGGCGCCACCCGGGCTCCGCGCGCCTCGGCGGGCCAGTCGGGGCCCTCATCGCCCAGGAGTGGAGCGAGAAGGCCGCCCACCTGCTGGCCCTGGGGCTGCCCTGCCCCGAATCGCCCGGGGACCCCGCCGCCCCCAGCACAGCCGCAGCCTCGGAGGAGGGGGGAGGGGCAGAGGAGGAGCAGCCAGAGGAGGAGGAGTGGTGGGGTGAGCTGGGTCAGAGCAGGTGGAGAGGGAGAGGGGCTAGGGGTAGAAGGCGGGTGGGGACAGTGGAAGGTCGAAGGGGAGACGGGAGGCTGGCACCACCGGAGGGCACGGGTGGGGGGGTCACGAGGCCGGGACGCTCCAGAGCGGTCCTTTGTTCCGTTCTAGGCGACGTCCCGCTCTCCCCTGGGGAACCGTCGGAGCGGCAGGCGGAGGAAGAGGAGGACGACGAGGACGGCCCGGATCCCGGGGCGCTCGCCTTCCCTCCGCCGCCGCCGCCGCCCCCACCTCCCCCGCCCCGCAGCCGAGAGCAGCGGCGGAACTACCAGCCGCGCTGGCGGGGCGAGTACCTGATGGACTACGACGGCAGCCGGCGCGGCCTGGTCTGCATGGTGTGCGGGGGCGCGCTGGCCACGCTCAAGGTCAGCACCATCAAGCGGCACATCCTGCAGGTGCACCCCTTCTCCATGGACTTCACGCCCGAGGAGCGTCAGACCATCCTGGAGGCCTACGAGGAGGCGGCGCTGCGCTGCTACGGTCACGAGGGCTTCGGGCCGCCCGCCCCGGCGGCGCCGCGCGATGGCGGCGCGGACCTCAAGGCGGGCGCCGTGTGTCGGGCGTAGATCACTCGAGGGGGAGGGCGGCGGTGCCGGGCCGGCTCCCCCGNCCACGCCCGCCGGCGCCGAGATCTTGTAAAGGGATTAGCACTTTCTTCCTTTGCTCGCCTGCTCCGAAGGTCTGCCTGTACCCCTAAGCTCAGTCAGGTGCGCCTGCTTCAAGCGCCCTCAGTCCGAGTCCGGGACACTGGAGGTCCCGGCAGTTGGCGTTCTGTTCCCGTCCCCTCCTTGCCCCCCCTTTTGTACGCCGTGGACGTGCCACCCATTCGCAGCCCTCTGGGCCTGGGGCCGGGCCTCGGCCTTCCTTTTTCTCCTCTCCGCGGCAGAGCCAGGCCGCGAGGGGCCGGAACGGGTCCCGCGATCTCCCAGGCAGGTCCGAGAGGGATGTGTACATTCATTCTCCTGTGGAGAACAGGTGGCCCCGGGATCAGGCCCTTTTTGCTCTTTGTATTTTATTTTGAAACTGTATTTAATGCTTTTATATGAGAGAGGGAGGGGCGGGAAGAGAGCTGTCCGTCACCCTTATGTGCAAATGTCTTATTTATTATGCGTGTATCAGAGATAAGCTGTGAGGTGGTGGAGGAAGGACCTAAAGGTAGGAGGAGCGAGGAGGCGCGGGCGGGGGGACCCCAAACATCATAGACTAATGTGTGCCTCACCAGGCTCCTCCGAGGAGTCTCTAGTAACCCACTGGCGCTCTCCACATAGCCAGGCCGGTTCCTTTGGTCTTAAAGGCTGAGTGGAAAGATCAGCGGGTGGGGACTTCAGGGCTGGGTCTGGAGGGGTAGCGGCCTTGGCAGCTGCCTCTGAGTGGGAAAGCGGAGAGCAGAGAGGAAAGCCTTCCTCATCTCAGTACTCCCAGGCCAGAGCCCAAGGTTCAAGTGCCTCAAGGCCCACTCCCCTCGACTTCTGATTGGGAATTGAATTTTATACCACGGATTTTATAGCATTTTTTATATAACTCAAAATTGTCTGAGCTGGAAAGACCTTGGAGATCAACCAGTACCTGCCCCCACCCCTTTCACAGATATGTAAGATGGAGTCCAGGAACTGAAATTATCACACACCAGGCAGGAGCAATTCTAGGACTAGAATAAAAACCTCAACTCCCAGTTCAGTGTTCTTTGCACTACACCATATGGCCTCCCCATCTCTGGTAAGTTAAAATTTCTTTTACTGTTAGGGGCCTGCCGAAGGATGGCGTGTGCTGGGCTCTGCAGTCCCTCCCAGTGCAGCTGTGGGCTCCTGGGGGTGGCAAAGAGCAGCACACTTTCCTGGAACAAGTATTCAACAGGGCAGTCTTGCCACCACTGGCTTTAGCTGGAGGGTGCCAGCAGCAGCTTTCTGGACCAGAACTCCAGAAGTAGAGCTGACTGCCGCCTGGCCCAAGGCCTCCCTGCTCTGCAAAGGCTCTGGCATTGTGGTGTTGATGCCACCAGGGGTTCAGGGAATGCTGCGTGGGCTGTCACTCATCTGAAAAGTGAATTCCTAGAGTGTTTGAACCTCCAGGTTTTTTGAGACAGTATTAAAAGAGAGCAGGGATTATGGATGGCCCCAGGTTGGGTACTGCCATTCTTTTATTTTCCTTCATGCATGTTGTTTTCAGATCCAGGAGTGCTCTGCCACTTTTGCTGCTCTGCCTGTTCAAAAACAGTAGGCAGACTGGGGCAACTATCAGTCATCCACACCCTCTGCCGAAGTTCAGGTAAGCCAGGGCAGAGAGCAGGGTGAGGATGGTTTTTGCTCTTAATAGGCAGGGAGAGGCCTTCGGAGGGCAAGAGTGGATGACTTCATTGAGAAGCAGCCCCAAACACTCCACTGGTTCTCAAAAGTGTGGCCAACAGAAATTAGGAAGTTAGTAGAAATGCAAATTCTTGGGTGGCACCTTATGGATCAGAAACTGGCATGGAGCCTAGCAATCTGTTTTGATAAGCCCTCCAATGATCACAAGGCACGCTAAAGATCTGAGCACCAGTGAACTACAGTGGCATTGTAGTTATTACTACTTTGCAGCTATTATAGCCTCTTGAATCAACAGTCAGGAGATTAGGTGGTTCTCATCTCTAGGTGCCTCCTCCTTGCCTTGGGAGTCTGATATGAACAGGTGAAGTTTCTTCATGAATTTTTTTGTTAATGGTATGCTTGCTATTATGGCCAATATGTAAATGTTACTCTGAATACATATTTATATACCATGTTAGTGACATTATTTGAACATTTGTATGCATATTTGTGAAGTTGTTTGCATCAGTTACTTTTTAAAAATTTCAGCCTAAGTTTTCTAAGAGGTATGTTGAATAAATTTAAAAAAATTAGCTTAAGGGTCATGGCAACCTTAGTTTTGTGAAAGAGCAAATCCAAGATAAGTTCTTTCAGCAAAGACCTGATGGAAAAGTTCCCATTTTCCATGGTGACTGAGTCTTATTGTAAGTACATCGTGACTGTGGGAGTTACAGGCTGCTTCATGTTGCAGGTGGGGGAACCCTCCTAGGTTGCTGTGAACTGGGACAACAGACCCCCTGGCCCCTTCCACTCATCATCTTTCTCCTACAGTCACCTCTTAGAGGGTCTCTTATTTTCTTTCAGAAACCAAATGCACAGCTTTGCTCTACTATGGAAATTCTGCAATCTTGGAAATCATTACTAGTATCAACTATTAGTCACTTTTTAAAGCCTCGAAAGTGGAGTGGGGATGGGGGCCAGTGGAAGCCTCGTCTGGTTCTTACTTTACCCAAACTGTGTATAAAGAATAAAGTTAGCAGAATGACACCACAGTCACTGTTCTTTTTTTCTTTTTTATTAATACCACATCAATCTGCAGTTTTACAGGAACCGAGACTCAAGCGCCTTAGGTGCTACTGTACTTTATGTTGCACGCACATACACGCACACAGTTTCATTAGTAATTTTTCACCTATAGATTTTTCTTAAAAAAAAGAAAATTCCTGTGTGGCACAAAGATCTGTCCGGTCAATCTGAACACAGCAGTGACGAAACAAAAGCTAGGTGTGGAGGCTTCAAGCACAGGAAAGGCCCTTTGGAGGGGAAGCCCAGAAAGACAGTCAGTGCACTGACTTCTTGGGAGGGCAAGAAATGGAGACGGAGAGTGCATTTCCCACCATGACATGAAGTGAGTTAAAACATTTCAAAAGGAAAGGGGGCTAAGAAAAGAAGAGTGGAGTAAGGCAAGGTACCTTTTACCCATCTAAATTCCTAAGTAATTTCCTCAACAAAGTAGAAAGAAAAGGTCCTTCCACTACCTTCTACAGAGCTGCACCGCTTTGGGGACCGTCAAAGATTATAGCCCTTACTTTAAAGTCATCAGTGCATATTCCGTCTGGATTATCACAACTGTGAGTTACAACCTGAAGGAATTCACAGATGATCTTTCAAGTTTACTGAATTTTCATGTTGGAAGGGGAGGAAGACGTTAAGTCTCAAGTGGGAATCAAAGATTCTCAAATGCCCTCCCTCTGCTATCAACATGAACTGTTCTGTTGTCTTTTAATTATGCATGGAGCCCGCCAACACAATCTGCCCCTGCGTGGTCACCCTTACCTAAAGCTTCTTGGAAAACACTCTCAAAAAGAGGACCCTACGCCACGGTACAGATGCTAAGACATCTTTAGTGCCTGAAAATGGAAGGAACCCTCAAACAACACATGCCCAATAAGCTAGCCTCTACATCAAAACTCCACCTGAACCACAAAATGCACCTCCCTACACTCATCTGTGGTGTCTTAACCACAGACAGTCTCCTCTCAAGCCGGCTCAGCTTTGGTCCTCAGGGTACAATGAAGAGCACAGGTTAAAGATGGAGTGTGTCGGGAAAAGAGGAAAAGGGCTTTGTGTTTCTGTAGTTCACCTCTTGAGAATGTTTCCCCACCACGGACTGAGACAGCATCACAATAACTCAATAATGGAGAGGCCCACATGCAGATTAAATTTTTTTTCTCTAACAAGGTTACAGCAGTGTACAGCAGTTACAGACATTTATTTTATAATAAGAAAAGTACACCATATTTATTAAACTTGAGGGTAGGAAAGAGGGAGGAAAGCACATTCAGGAATAAGCGCTCAGACTACAGCTCAGAACTGGTGTCCAGAAGAAACGACAGACACCACCACCGTCCCACATGTGGAGCCTTTCCTGCCTGAGGAGGCGCAGGAGTCACGGCAGTGCTCCTGTGTGCTCCTCCTCCATCTGACCTTCCATCTCCATTCTTGGTTATCAGGTGGTATTCTGGGAATCAGGAATCATCACTATCAACTATAAGTTATTCACAGAGTTGAAAGTTATATCATTAAATGAAGAAGAAGATTAGGAGTAGCTGCTCACATTGTGGGGCAGGAAGATGGGATCAGAGGACTGCAAAACAAAACGAAACAACAACAAAAAAGAAAACAAAAAAAGGGAAGGAATCCCATTCTTGTCCCCAGATAATTTCTTCATAAGTTAATCATTATTTCTTAACTTAAAAATAAGGGCAAAACTATGATGGGAAGCTATAGAAGACTGACTAGTCCTTGAAATTTGGATAAAAGAACCCAAGACATGGGTTTCTATTTTTCATTTTCTCCTTTACCTCCAATTTCCCCTCCTTTCAAGTTACAGGTAAAAAAGCTCCACCGTCATAAAGGTACTGATTTATCCTATTAATTTGGCTCTTTCTTTATTCTTTTGGGTTTTCTAAGATACCAGTTCTTTTTTAAGTCCAGAATATTAATCCATATATTTCTAAGATACCGTTCTTTTTTAAGTCCAACAATTCTTGTGCTTGATACTGAGGGTAGAGGGAAAGGAGGGGAGAAAACACCAAATTAAAAAGCTTGGAATGCAGGCTCAAGCTGACACTGAGCACGGTCCTTCATAGCACAAGTGACAACGTTATAACTATTAAATGGTGTTTTAGTAACTGTTGTGTTTCTGGTTTCCATGTACTTATTCTGCCTTTTTTTTTGCGATTCCAGGGAGTTTTGCTTGGATCCTATTGGGAAAAGGAAAGAAAAAAAGAGTGAAGATATAGACATTAGTTCTAGATTTTTGTTTTACCACTGATCCTAGAAGACAACTCTTGGACTTACTAGTGTCATGTGAACAATACTCCCATTTTCACTGGGCTTCCTCTAGATGAAAAGAGGCAGGGGCTGAGTTTGGCCTGGGATGAGCTGAAGAGTACCCCCAAGATCCACCCCCTCCCTCCTCTTTCGCTGCCCAAACCTCCTGGCTCCCTCCACTGGGGATGCCGGAGAATGAGGTATATGCAAGCACAGTGCCTGCTGGCTGTGCTCTATAGGAATAAGCAACAACCATATACAAATCTGTGTGAACTGCTCTTGCTGGGCTATAGCCCCAATATCTACCTAAGAAAGCGAAAAAACAGGTACAGATCCAGGCATTAAGTCTGGGCTGTCTGGATATAGACAAGGTTTCCTCATATCAAAGCTAGAAAAAGCACTGAAATCTGGGGTGTGAAAGGTGGGGGGCAGGCACAAAGAGAATTTAACTGCTGTGATGCTTTGTTTCTTAAAAGAGTATCTGAAGAAAATATGGAAAAATATTAACTTACAAAGTTCCTTGATATAGGGAGTCATACAAATTCTACCAATATTTTATTATTTGATTTAAATATGAAACTGATCAAAAGAGAAGGATCTGTGGTCTTAGAAAAGAGGTAGTTTTGAGCTTTAATATATTTATTTACTACAACTTATTCTGAAAAAGGAAGGAAGAGTTTGGCTTAATATTGATATTTGTGAAACTAAATGGTGAGTAGACAACCACAAACATTTAAAAACCAGTTCAAAAAGGCAGAGTGGTCCTAACTCTGTTGATCCTTTTCAGTTTAAGATACAAAGAATGCTTTACAAAGGAACAGATGAAATAATTTCTAGTAAAATGAAACCATTAACCAAGCCTTTCCTTTTCCCCAGGATAAAAATTACTTTCTTTGGCATTACCATTTTACATAGTAGACTAAAAATAATTGGGGGAAAAAAAGCTCATGTCATGATGAAATGAGGAACCTAAGCATACTCACTTTTCAACAATCGACTTGGTCTGATCGCGGGCGATGCCAACGTAGTGATCAATCTGGGTCTTTAAAGAAGAAAAGTCATTCAGTTGTGGCAACACACAGATTAACAATTTTCCTGAAGGCAAGATTCTTTAGTCTCGGTTAACCATTTTCTCAATACCAGAAACTGTGTGTCTAATCTATATTCAGTAAACACAAATATGTTCTGACTTCTGGTGAGACTAATTCATTTAATACCAAAAAGCCATGAATCAAGTCAGATGATGGATGACAATCTATCAAAAATAACTTCATAGCATCCAGTACACTCAATATAAGCCACTCTACAATGCAGACATCTGTTCACACTGATGGATTCAGTTACCAGTTTCTCATAGGCACTTGACTTACAAAATTAGACTGTAAAAACAACTAGAAAAAGATTGCTGTCAACTTTCAATGCCTAAAAAATGAACTAGGGACTGCCCTGGTGGTCAAGTGGCTAAGACTCTGTGCTCCCAATGCAGGGGGGCCCTGGTTCAATTCGTGTTCAGGGAACTAGATCCCACATGCTGCAAGTAAAGATCTGATGTAGCCAAATAAATAAACAAATAAAGAACTAAAATTAGTCATACATTAACTGGCATATCTGATTCAACACAGACAAATGCTTACCTTGTACTTCTCATAGACAATTGGAACACTGAAAACGAGCAGTTCAGCTGTAAGACAGAATCATGAGACATGGCAAGTGTAAGTATGAGACAGCCACAAAGTCGCAAGTAACAGGGATATTTTTCCTCATGAAATATAGGGAAACACAGAACTTCTTCAATATGAGAAATCCTGGCCAGAGCTCTCAATTAAGGACAGTTAGATACAGGCAGGTATACAGGCTTCCCTTTTGTACCACAAGTAATTTCTAAATTATGAAGATCCTCATATTTAAACCAAATCTAGACAACTCTCCTTTATTATTTCTAGTTGTCTGGATGTTTCTTTATAGGTGGGACTATTTAATAAACCTGTGCCCATAAACATAGGTTCCTCCAATATCTAGTCAAGGTCTTTATGGATGTTGAAGGCTGCGCCAGTGTGAAAGGACTGGAGCCATGCTGAGCTCTCTTTGCTCTTACTCTCACCAATTACTTCATAGAGCCTGAAGACATTTTCCCTGCCACCTTACCAAGAATCAGAAGGGTGATCCCATTGAAAACGGCACCAACATAGGTCATCAGCCACATGAAGACAGCAAGCTGTGAAGGCCAACATCAGAGGGTTAAGCAGGAATAATCATAAGGCAAAATTCAGGTTGGGCTGTGCTCAGTTGTGTCTGACTCTTTGCGACCCCGTGGACTGTAGCCCACAAGGCTCCTCTCTCCAGGCAAGAATGCTGGAGTGGGTTGCCATGCCCTCCTCCAGGGGATCTTACAAAATTCAGGTTTTTGATGTTAGTCTTTTCTGGCTAAGTCCTCATAAATTTAGTGATGTATGCCGCTGATAATTTCAAGATGAAGGTTATCTCTTTCTATTATACATTTGAGGGTGCATAAGAGAATTCAGTGGCTCTCTCAGGCCCCCAAACAGATGGTAACTGCATTTCTATCAATTACATATGTTATCCTTATTCTGATGTTAGTTCTCGCGGTGCAGAAAGTACCTTCTTTACTAACCCCTACTTCCATTTTTATAGACTGGTTGAGATAAGCATACATTTTGCTTTTGTCTGATAAAACCTTATTTACTGCCTTCCTC